AATCCTTTCTCAGCTGCTGGAGGCTCAGGCTGGGGTGCTGGGGCTAAACATGACTAGCTTTGGAGGCCAACTGGCCTGGCCATCGTTGGTGGAGCTACTTCCGTCATTCTTAGCCTCCGTTTATCCCTTGGTGGTGTGGGGAGATGCCCGCTGCAGGACCAGCACTCATTCAGGTCGTGGCTGGATGGCGTGGGGTCAGATGGCGTGCTCGCCCTGCCTGCCCCCACAGTAATGTCACCGAGTGGCACCTGTGCCGCATGGTAGTGATACACCCAGTAGCTCTGAGGAGGTGGGTGGAGGCCTCGCTCGTCGGCACGGGGCTGCACCGGAAGCCTTGGGCATGGAGGAGGTGCCCGAGGAGGGCGTAGGAAGAGAAGCAGGCCCAGGACCAGGGCTCCAAGACGCAGCAGCACTGCAGAGATGGGCACAGGCAGATATGCCAAGAAGGGGCTGGGGAGGAGGAGGTGGAGAGATGAGGAGTGTACACCAAGGCGTCCAGGACCTGGGTGCGCAGCAGGGGCTGGGCAGCTGGGGGAGGAGAGGCTGCCAGGTGGGCATTGTCCTTAGGGGACAGCAAGGTCCTCGGTGACCTTGGGGAGAGCAGCTTCAGAGAAGTGGTACGAGCAGAAATGCCAGCTGAGACCGAGCATAGTTGGTGGGGTGGGGTGAGGACACGGAGACAGCCCACCGTCTGAGAGTGAATGGGAGGAGAGAGGGTGGTGAGAGGCCCCGGAGGACTTTGGAAGGTTTGTGTCGTACATTTCCGATGACAGATCTCTGCTCCCTGCACTTGGGCACACACAACGCAGGACGAGGGCACCTTCTAGGCGGAGGAGAAGGAACCAGGAGAAAGGACAGTGGCGGTGTGATGCCGGGTCTTTGGGTTGTACGCAGAGAAAGATTCAAGGCAGAGAGGAGGGGCTTCGCTCGGTACCCTGACGCTCAGGCACACGTCGAAAGGAGACACAGGCACGCAAGGGCCTTCTCCTAGACCTGGAGCCCTGAATTCAGATGGCTAACCCCCTACACCAGCGGTTCTCAACCTGTGGGTCGTGACTCCTTTGGGGGTGTGTGTGTGTCGAATGACCTTTCCACAGGGGTCACCCGATTCATAATGTAGCAAAATGACAGTGAAGTAGTAACAAAAATAATGTTATGGTTGGGGGGGCGATCACCACCACATGAGGAACTGTGTGAAAGGGTCGCTGCATTAGGAAGGTCGAGAACCACTGCACTAGACTGACCCCCCTATAAAGCACAGGACAGTCCCCCCCCCAGCCCCCCGACACACACACACACACACACACACACACACACACACACACACACACACACACACACACACACCAAAGACTTATCCAGTCCAAAATAGCCTCGTGGTAACTTGGAGAAGCCCCGGGATTAGAGGAGACGGACAGAAAAGGAATGGATCCGAGGCATTTTGCTTTGTGACAAAGAGCCAAAGTGTGATTAGGAACAACTGTCAGATGGCCCAGAGATCAATGGGATGTTAGTGGACATAAATATGGAGTTCAGGAAATGGCTTCGGGGCTGGAAGGAAGAGGGCAGCTGGGAATAGCCAGGCCTTATTCATCCCTGCAGCCCCATGGCACCTGGCGAGGGCCTGGCGGGTGCACAGCAGATGCTCAATGAGTGCTGTAGGCATCCACTCTGCAGATAGCCACGCCACATGGATGCCCTCCAAGTTCAGGCCAGACTCTGAGTTGGACCTCAGCAGTCCAGGAAACCAGGAGTCCCCAGTCCACTAGGGAGACGGAGCCATGAACAGCCATCACAATCCAGGGAAGTTAGTCCTGAGGGAGTTGTGATGACCGCTGGTCCCCAGTGTGGGGAAGGCTGCTCAGGAACAAGGATATTTGAACAGGGTCTTGCAGGGTGAATAGGAGTTTTCCATGGAGTCGGAGAGCAGAGAGGCAACCCTGTCTCCATGGGGGAGGAGGGAGCAATAGGAATGAAACATGAGGAGCGTGGGCTTACTGCAAGGTGAGCCCTTGAATGTGCCGAGCATGGTCCTACATGGATCAAATGGCCATGGAAGGCCATGGGCCTGATCTCCATATCCCCAGGGAGGAAAGGAGACCCTGATCTAGGTCAGAGGGTTTTCCAGTCACAGGTGTGCCCGGCAGAAGGTCAGAGAGATCAAGTCTGAATTCCCTGACTCCTGGGAGGGGCCCTGGGCAAGTACATGCCAGCCCTGTGGCTCTGCAGGAAACCAGCTGTGACAATGTGGCCATTGGGGTCATGTAAGGGCATTGGGCCAGGTCCCTATGAGGGACAGACATGTACCTGAGTTTTCTTACCGAAGGTGCATGGCTGGAGGGCCCCCACAGCTTTCTAAAGGATGCTTTCTCCCAAGCTGCAGATGGGTTTCTCAGTCCCCCCCACTACCCCATGTCTCAAGACATGAGACATAGATGCCTGACGTGGGCCGACCTGGCAGCCTTCATGGCCTGGCTCCACCAGGATGGGCTCCAAAGCCACCAGCCCAGTGGCTTCTGGGTTAGCCTGGTGTGTCCTCCAGCAGTTGAGGGGGACCTGACATCCCTCAGCAGAGATCCTGGAGCCAGGAGTCAGGTGCTGGGCCAGAGTGGCTATGCAAGGCAGCGGGCGGAGGCTGCGCTGAAGCGGGGCGGTCTGGGCCCTGCTGTCAGCAGTGCTCTGGACGCCCTGGGGCAGTGAGGCTGGTAGCTAGTAGCCATCGAGTTGGTGCTGACCCTTGGCAACCTCCTGTGTGCAGCGTCCACCTGCTCCCAAGGGTTTCCAAGGCTGTGGCCTTTTGGAAGCAGCTCATCGGGTCTTTCTTCTGACGGGCCTCAGGATGCTTTTGAGCCACCAATTTGGGGGCTAGCAGCAGGGCCTGAACTGTTCGTGCCACCCAGAGATCTGTGATCTTGGGCAAGAGCCCTCCCATCCGAAAGCCTCCTCTGCCTGATGGTGAGAGATGGTCCCTGGGGCCCCCCACCCTCAGCATGGTCTCAAGTGGCTGGAAAGATGAGAAGTGGGTCCCAGCACTTTTCTCAGTCACCTGGCACGAGTGAGGACCGATGCTGTTAAAGTTCCAAGCAGAGAGGCCGAGCGCCCAGAACCTCGGCTCTCGCACAGAACGCTCAGACAAGGGCCTCCCGCCTGGGGCATCAGTGTTCAGCGTGTGTGTCGTGGAATTCACTATCAACCTCTGACAACTCTTGTGTGGGACAGGAGGATGATGCTCCTGAACATTGGGAGAGTGCCTGGCGCGCAGGGGCCGCTCTCTGCTGGTGGCACTGGGCACTGCATGCGGGGGAGCTGGAGGGAGCCTGAAAGCAGCAGGGTCCAGGCACCATGGGAGAACGGGGGTCACTCACAGGCTGGGCTGCGAGCTGCCTGGGTTCCAGGGTGGTGGTGGCTTCAAAGGGCTGTCCCCATTGGGCCAGATCAGTGTCAGCTGCGTTCTAGACTGGGGCTTCTAGGGGGGTGGCACTGCACTTGCGTGTGTGGGTGTTGCTTTGGGGGGAAAGGTCACCATCTCAGTAGCTTTCTGTGCTGTGCCCCTTGAGGGCCCAGCCCCCTTCCAGGTTTTGGGAGACCCCAAATCTAGGTTCACGGGACCACTGACCTCGTTATAGTAGGGGCAGTTAGTGGACTCCTTCATGGACGTGTACTTCTTGTCGTCGCCCACCTCCACGCACACCACGGGGTCCATGTTCAAGCCCACCAGCTGCCGAGCCTCGATCACGGTGATACTGACCTGCAGACGGGAGACGCGATGGGCGGACAGAGCTAGCGCGGAGTGCACGAGAGCAGTGGGCATCTAGTGGCCTTGAGCAGGCTGGAGGACAGAGGGACCAGCGCCAGACTTGGAGTCTCAGTCTCAGTGTCCAGTAGGATCGCTGCCTCTCCTGTCCTGGGGGACCCTGGCTTTTCACCCCTTCTCCACCTGGGTGTCCTCATTGACAA